TGCCATCGTAACTTCATCAGATCATTCCTTTCTTCAGGAATTTACAACACTGCCACTTTGACTAAACCATACCCCTTCAAAATTGTATTCAAAGCTCTCCACCGTCAGACCTTACTTCCCTAACCAGTACTTTCCAACATGAGCCTTCAGCCCCTTCCTGGCATCGCTATTGTTTCTCCCACCTTCCCTTTTCATTCCAATCTCCACGGACCCCAGGCTCCCCCCACCTTTGCCTCACCTCCATTTCCTTTAGGACCTCGCTCAAGATCCCCTCCCAACAGCTCTTGTTTTATAAACCTACCCTATTGACATGGCTTGCAGAATCCTTCATTGAGTTTGAACTTTTTGAACTGGTTTTGCTCCCTTCTGTTTCCCTACGTTCTAACACACAGTAGGTTTGTAATAAATATCCAGTGAATGGCCAGACACTTGGAATATCAAACATCAGAATTACATTTTAGGAAATTGTGTTTTTTATGTTTTCAAGAGACTACGAAGTCCTCAAGATTCAAGCTCATGCCTTACTTTCCTACCCTTGAGTTTGCACCTACACTACAGGACACTCAGAGGTTCCCAACGAACATCCAACAAATTGAACTGAATTAAAATTAATCTCTGCCCTTACTTAAAATCACCATGGAATCAACTTGAAGACTGTCTCCACACACACCCAAAATAATCAGATGAAGAGGTTAAATTATTCTGGAAAAACAGATTACTAGCCATTTTTTAATGTCCTAATTTTTTATGCCCACTTTTGGGATCCTACTCTTAAGTATCTCAAAAAAAGTCTATCTAAGAATATTTTCAATAGCTCGGAGCAGAAACAAAATTCTACACATTTTAATCACTACCTCTCCTTTACCTGAATGGTGATTTTTTTTTTTTTTTTGTAAAACTAACAGTAAAGTTTATTAGGAGAGGATCAGGGGGAGAAAAGAGGGAGAAGCATTTCCTGTTCTCCACACAGGAAATGGGAGCAAAGACTCCAAGAATGGTGCATTTTTTTGTGTTTTTATCTGAGTTTAATATTTGGTCCTGTTTTTAGTTTGTTAGCCATGCTGAGAGTGGAAATACCCCAGTGGCAGGGTACTGCTTGCGGATAAAAACCACCCTGGTATTAATATGGCAGTCCCAGTCAGAGATACAAGTAAACAGGGTCATCTGCACTCCATTCCTCTGGGCACAGACACCCGAAAGGTGACCACTGAGGAAAGCCCTTTCTTCCCTGGAGCAGCATTTCTTGGAGAGGTCCTAAGACCACCTGCACTTGCTCATCTCCAGTTCCCTGGGGCGACTCTCTAGGGCAAAATGTGGAGACCTTGGAGGCAGGCCGGCCAGGGGTGTTTTCCCAGGAGAGGGGCACAATAGCTTGGGGACAGGTTTCTGGCAGAAACCTGTTCTTAATAGGCTCTCAGTTGAAACTTATGTATAGTAAAGCTTGAGAACCAGTGCAGCTGACAATTAATCACATAATTGACCTTCAAGTTGAATTCAAGTTGGAATGTAATACTCCTGTATTGGGCTCAAAAAAAAAAAAAAAAAACCACTCTGAAAAAGTAGCCCTTGTTTCCTGAAAAACACATGTCCCAACAGCCCCAACCTCAGCCAAACAAATATCTAACAGCTGGGGAAAATAGGTGACTCCCAGGCCACAACCTCCTTTCTCAGATCCCCCAGGCCAAGGACAAGAACTGCTCTTGATATCATGTTTGTCCACAGGTGGGGATGATGGCAGGACAGTTAATACAGTCCCATCTAAAATAATGTGTTCATCCCTTTGAAAGTGACATGTTTGCAGTGGCTAATGTGCCAGCTCAGGTATAGGGACCCTTGTGGAAAAACAGACTCTGCAGGACAAAGGGTGACCTACAGCACGTGAGGACGTCTATGTCCTAGGCAGCTCAAGTGAGCAAGGGTTCTCCCAAAGTGCCCTTGAAAGTGTCTTCATTCTTGAACGACAGACAATCTACATGCTTCTCCTGCCTCCTCTCCCCACAGTAAGAGGGGAAGCAATCAGGAAAATCATCCGGATGAATGTGGCTCAGAGTTGGTTGTCCCACACAGCTAGGACGAACAGACAGAGCTCAAGCGCATATGGATCTGTGTGACAGCAGACACTCCAGGGCTCAGACAGGGCTCTGGGGGGAGACGAAGCACTCTGACCAGTTAGGAAATGAAGCATCATTCCAGGCAGACTGTGCCCTTGGCCCTAGACATGTGCAGGGCAACCACGAGGACCCCAAGGTCACGGTGAGCACGAAGAGGAAGAGTCCATTCTGTCCAGAATTTTAAGTAATGGTTACTTAAAGCCTAAACAAATGGGGCACTGTCACACCCAAAGGGGACCCTCAGAGGGAGATAGGGGTGCAGGGGCCTGATGTGATTGTGCCTGTCGTGGAGTGCTGAGAGGGAGGAGAGGGCCCCGACTGTCACCAATCGCCCCTTCATCACCTCCAGAGGTGCTCTGGAAAGGCTGATTTGGCCACAGCGACTAGGAAGGAGGCCACTTGAGGTCCAGGCAGAGGATTCAGATTTGCTCCAATTCATAGTGAACTTCTAACGCTTACCCTCTGCCCCTGACTCCCCTCCTGAGTGAGGGTGCCTGATAGCAAAGGAAAACTGCAGAGTCCATGGCGGGAGGGGGCAGGGAGGAGGAGGGGATTCAAGCACACAAGAAAGAAAGAATACAAAAGGACTTAGGAATCCCAAATTCAACTTCCTGGATCTGTCAAGTTTGGCCCTAAGGGTGCCCTGCCTATATAGTTTTTGTTGTTGTTGTTGTTTGTTTGTTCATTTAGTCACATGCTGTATTTATAGTTTTAAAAGTCTCTTTACAAGTTGCAGTGCTCAGCTTGTCGGCAGACTTCAATGAAGTTAGGTTCTGCTTGCTACTAGCAATGCAGGTTAACTAAACAAAAAACCCAGAACGGCCCCTGACCTGGCGGCAGTTCACCCTCAATTCAAGCCAAGATGGAGGAGGAAACAGCCTTTAGCATGCCGAATTTGCAAGCCTAAATATAAAGGGACAGCTTCATTCTCCTGTTTGCTATGAGCAGAGAGCTACCCCCAGCTCCAGCCACCCCCAGGGTGGGCTGGCAACCCATGGTGGACCACACAGAGCTGACTTTCAAGGAAGAGCTGGTCACTCTCCAGAGAGAATGCACACTGTCGTGCCTGGTAATTGACCCTTCAGCTTGGCCAGGCCACCATCCATCCTTCTTTGTCAACCCCTTCTCTCTGGACATGAGGAGGTGCCCATAGTTATATGTTTGTCAGGTACCCCTTCCTGGGTGGACTCCAGAACCGGGTACATGTCCTTCCACACCCAGCAGGGACTGGGAGCAGACTACAAGGCTGAGGAGCAGAGGGCAGAGGGGGACCAAGCTGCCAGGAGTAGACGTGTCATTCCTAATAAGCACATAGAGGCCCACGGGGACTCATAAAAGGACTCTGATCTTGTTGGAGGCTAGATAAGAGCTGCTATGTCTCAGAATATGAAGGGAAGTAGGGAAGAGTGACAAGAGCCAGGTGGAGAGGCCTTCAGACCCATCCTCCAAGTCGGCACCAAAATATAAGGAGAGGAGGGCTGGGAACATGGCTCAGTGGTGCAGCTTGCCCAGCACGACAAGGCCAGCAGGCTGAGGGGAGGGGAGGGGAGGGGAGCAGAGCCTTGAGGGGCAAGGACACTTGCAACAGTGCTGTGGGCAGTGAACTGGGCCCAGCAGGAGGAGCAAGCCAGGGGACAAGGGAGGTCAAGCAGACAGGAGCTGGCGGTCAGCCTCAGAATGGGTAACAGGTCAGCTGTGTCAACACAGCCCTAGCATGCTGTCCAGCCTTTCCTCTGGCGTCAAAGGAAGCATGAGAAAGAGTATCTATCATCAGAGTGTGGAGCAGGAGGCCTCAGGAGGCAAGGAGTCATGGGACTCTCCTGTCACTGCCACATGCCAACCTCTTAGATATGGGCAGTCCTACCCTCTCATGGGAGTTTGCATTTCATTTCTCTTCAATTTCCCTCTCCATGGGACAGTTCAGCATAACCCATCACCCTTCCACAAGCCTGACCCTTGCTTTCCATCTCTACCAACTCCTCATTGGGCGCCTCCCATGGGCTGGCCGCCGTGTATAACACCAGGCTCTGTCACAGCGTGTACGGGTCCCAAGAAGCCCACAAGACCTGTGTAGAATCCACTCCCTCCAGCTCACAGGGCAGGAAAAGAAGGCGAATAGAAGTCAGACAGCCGGCCCAAGTCACATGGCCTAGTGAGAAGAGATCGGCCCAACCTGGCCTTTCTGTTAGAGTAGCGAAAAGGCTACTGTAATTCTTCCATCATCCAGTCACAAAGCCTGACGTTTCCTCACTATAGGAAGGAGCCAAGAACCTCTAGTCTCTTTCGTCCTCCAGCCTTTTCCACATAGACACAACAGCAGTCTCAGAACATTACTTTCAATGTTACCCTTCATGGTTCAAAGCTTCCTGAGCTTGGAGATACAGATGCAATTCCTCAGTCTGGCATTTATGACCCTCCTTCCTCCAAACCCAGTCCCAGCTTATCTGTTCTGTCTCACTACTCACAAATCCTCTGATCTTACCGGATGGGTCTGCCTCATCTCCTGCAGGAATCTTGCACATTGCTATCCGTGTACCTTTGGATGGCATGTTCCCCTCCAGCTGCTTGGATCCTTACCATCCATGAGGACCTGACATGCCCCCCCCAGCTCTGCTATTCCCCCAGCTCTCAGGGATCCTTCCCAACTTGAATATCTAGACCAAGAATCTCACCTGGCTCCATTCTTAGATAGCTTCTCATTGACATTTCAATGTGCATGTGTCCTAATTTCTCAATTATATTAAGGTTGATGATGGGCAGCAACTGCTAGGACGTACTTTTATCCATCATCCATCTCCTTTGTCCCCCTCAGTGACTACTGCTGCACACTGGCTGCAAGTGCCACTGAGCCTTCAGCATCCCAGGACTGTCTCGGTGCAAATGTCTTACCTGTAATATCGGGACTGCAAGTAGGTGGAGCAAACGGCCTTGGACACATGACTGGCTGAACCAAAGTCAATGACCTTGACTCTGTATGGCTGCCTGGAGGGGTCCACCAGCATGATGTTTTCTGGTTTGAGGTCAGCATGGATAAGACCCAGGCTTTTGAGCTTCATCAGGGCTGTGGCTACCTGCTGGAGGACTGGGCGAATGTATTTGAGGGGCAAGGGGCTAAACTTGTTCTGCTTCAGAAAGTCATAGAGGTTCTGTTCCAGCATCTCAAAGACCAAGCACGTGTGATTCTTGTGCTGGAAGCACTCGTAGGCCCGTACGAAATTGTAGTCGTCCGCACTCTCCGTGCTCAGCCGGGCCAGGATGCTCACTTCGATCTGCCCTTGCCGGGCATAGGATGGGTGGTTCTTCAGGATCTTAATGGCCACGATCTCATTGGTGCCCCGTTTCCAACACTTGACCACTTGCCCAAACGTCCCTCGGCCCAAGAACTCTAAAACCTCGTAGGTGTTGGTCATCGAGCACAGCACTTCATGCTGTACCAGCTGGTAATCACCCTCACTGTTGGAGCCACTGTTTTTGGAGGTGGCAGTGGACGTGGTGGCAGTGGCTACAGTGGCCCCGCTGGCATTATTCTGAATCATGGGTGGATGCTCTTCGATGATCTGCACGCTGCTCGTGTTCTCAATCTCCTCGCTCTTCCGCTTGAGTCCGCATTTTTGGTAGGTATCAAGGAGGCTCACAGTGCTTCGACGCATTAGGTTATGTGTCCCGCCGAGGACGTGCCCGGTGACGGAGGTGCTACTTGCTGATGTTACAACTATGTGCCCGGTGCTTCCTGGGAAGATGATGGTCTGCTCGTAAGGTAGGCTTGGGTTTGGGATCGGCAAGGAGGTGCTGACGGTTGTGGAGGCTGGCTGAGAAGGTGGTATGTCCTTGCTCTGGCTATATACTTTGCTGTGGGAGCCGTACCCAGTCATGTCCCAGTTGGAACTCGGCTCTACTTTCAGTTTCTTCACACTACAGAAGGCACTTGATTGAAGGGTGTGAGGGGAGAAAACCTGCACATGTGAGGCCATACCTGTAAGAACAGGAAAAGGAAAAGCACATATTTGAGTCACTCACCCTAGCATGAAGAAACTCAACAGATTTGTTTAAGTTCTGCCCAGCGGCTCGAGTCAGGTAGGAGATTGTCCTCTGGCTGCAGAACAAGCTTGCAAAAGTAAATCTATTCCACCCGGAAGCACATTTGGCTTGTGGGACCCAGGGGTTCCCAGCTTCCTTCCACCATTAGGAGGACAGGAGGTTCCTAGGCACAGTCAGGGACATAGTCAGACACAGAGTTAGAACGTCATCATTAAATCCTTATAAATATATTTGTGACAGGAACTATTTCTTCTTCCATCCTCACCCAGTTATGTTCCACTAAAACTACAGACTATACAAACAGCTTGGTAAATTATGAATTTAGCTCCTCCACACAACCCTGCTCAGCCTTGTCAACAGACCTTAACAGTCAGGCTCAGTGCTTTGAGTAAACATGTCCCTAGACAGGCACCAGTGCTCACGCCTGTAATCCCAGCTACCCAGGAGGCAGGGATCAGGAGGGTCGCGGTGGAAGCCAGCCCAGGCAAATAGTTGATGAGACCCTATCTCAAAAACACCCATCACAAAAAAAGGGCTGGTGGAGTGGCTCAGGTGGCAGAGTGCCTGTCCAACTACTGTGAGGCCCTGACATCAAACTTCAGTGCTGCATCCCCTCCAAAATCCGTATCTCCACATAGGCCCCATCACAGGTCCATTCATGATCTTCTGGATTCTTGGTGAGAAGTAATTGTCACCTGGCATCTTGGTCATCTTCACTGAATCCTGTAGGGCTGAGTGGATCAACAGTTGGTCTGATATCTTTATTTAGGTAAGCTAAAATATATTATCAGTGTTGTGTGTGTGTGTGTGTGTGTGTAACAATTCATTGGGTCTTTTACTCACTCTTTCTGCTAAATTTATATTATCAATAAATTTCTCCAGAAAGTACTATCTATGATTTCATACCAACATATCTGCCATTTAGATAACCTGAGAAATCTTTAGGACCCTCTGAATAGTGATACAGTTTATAATTATGGCGATCCAGGAAACAAACAAAAATTCATAGAAAATGCATGAAGGGAAAAAAATGCAGTGACGATAAAGTCCTTAAAGGAGAAAGCAGAAACAAGTTCTGTCCATCTTCTGAGCTGCCATTGATAGACATTCTTTATAGAAGTACAAAGAAAGCAGGGATATGGTAGGCACAGTTGGTGCTCAGCCATCCTAGGGCCCGTGGCTCTCGGAAGCCCTAGCACTATCCAGAGGGGTTATTTAACATCTTCCTCTTCCCCATCATCCTTTGTCCTGGCCCTCTCTCTCTCAGTAGATGGACCTACACTCCGCCTGCAGTCAGCCTCACTTTCCTTCTTTGTTCTCTTCTCAAAACTTCCCAAATCTCCATCCATCCTGCATCCTCTGCCTCTGCTGTACAGTCCCGGAGGACTACTACCATTTTTTCACTGTTTTTTGTCTTGACGCTTTTAACTTCTCCCTTTTAATTGGACCCAAGTCCTTAGTAGTAGGTACTGCATAGTCGGTCAAATGAATCAATGACTTAATCCTTTCCTTCTGACTTCATGTGAATATGCACACACTGACTCCCAACTTGGAATGCAAGGGAAGAAGTAGCTGCATTCCCCCTCTTAACTCCTACCTTCTTCTTACCTGTAGGTCAATGGTTTTTGCTCCCTTTTCTTCAATGCTCATATCTTAATCCATCTCCCCCAGCAGATTCACTTACGATGGCCTGTGTTCTTAAAGGTAAATGACTTCCTAATTGCCTAACCCAATGGCTTTTTTCAGTCCCTATTCTCCTTCACCCCCCTGCAACATCCTGGTGACCACAACTTCCTTTTTGATGCTCTTATCTGGTCTTAAGTGCATCTGTAACCTCCTCCTCCCAGGGCTGATTACTGCACTGAATGCTTGGGTGGTTCTTCCTCTTCCTCCTTTAAAGTGCTGGCATTTCCAGCATTCTGACTCTGCTCTCTTTGGAAGATAGCATCCATTCAAATGGTTTAAGCTGACCTTCCTATGCAGGAAACTCTCAATTTATCACAAGCTGAGTTCCCCCTCAAATGATCCAGTAATATATTTCTGCTGCCTGGTACGACATCAAAGATGATCTTCCAAAGCCAATCTGCTTATTTTTTCCCCCCAAAATTAACCATCTCATCTTCTTCCTAAACTTCCATTTCTGGTTGTAGTTTTTTTTTTTTTTTTTTTTGGCAGTACTGAAGATCGAACCTGGGGCTTTGCACTTACTAAACAAGCACTCCTATCACTTGAGCTGGGCCCCAGCTCTTGTTGGTTGTTGTTTTGACCTAAGGTTCTCTCTAACTTTGCTGGGGCTATCTCAAATGTACAATCCTCCCATCTCAGCCTCCTGAGTAGTTGGGATTACAGGCCTGTGACACCATGCCCAGCTGGATTCACCTTTTGATGGTTCTCTATCTCCACAGACAAGAAGATACTAAGTATCAATTTCTCCTGCCTTTAAAATGGCCCTTGCATCCAACTCTTTCCTTCTGTTCTTGCTACCACTTCCAGAACTGAAACACTATTTTCCAGCAGTCCTAAAGTGAATATGGACCCCTGGTCTATCTGTGCACTCTTTTTCCCTTTAATTTGCATATATTTGGCCAACAGATTTATCTTCCTAAGATATCTCTGAGCCTATCGATCCTCAATCCAAAAACTTTCAGTGATAAAGCTGAGGACTGAACAGTTTTTGCATTGACTCCAGTAACTATCTGACTGGCTTCAGGTTCAACTACTGACCTCTAACTCTCAACCCTGTGAGGCTGGCCTACTCAACTCTTCTATGGTAGCTCCTGCACTTGCTACCTGCACACTCTTGCACCCAGCCCCAGTGGAACGCCTGCGCCTCTTCTCCCAGGGTATCTGAAGACCACCCAACTTACAACCTTCCTTTCCAGACTGCTCCAACCCACAGAACTCATTCCCAGCTCTCTTCCTATGGGATTGCACATATGTGCCGGCCATTTGACTAATTGATTTTGGAGACAGAATCTTGTTAAGTACACAGGCTGGCCTCAAACTAGTGATTCTCCTGCCTCAGGCTCTCTGAATGCTGGGATTACAGGTGCTGCCACATGGCTGGTGAATTATTTATCTTTTGTGCTATTTATTTAGCACATGACATGGTTAGGTCATGTTTCGTAATGATACTATATTCTAGCAGCAAAAGCTACAGTTTGTACTCTGCACTTTATTGTGCTTTCCCCTGTGTTGGCCAAGCTTTCTGTGCATGTGGGCACCGTTGCTGGAATAAAGCTCTCTAACTAGCCACGTGTAGCAGAGTAATCACCAGTGACATACATCTATAGAACCTGGTCTGACTCTGGAAATGAGAGATCAATGTGCCAGTATTTTTCCATCCAAACCAAGACATCTTAAAAACCAGGGCAGAGAGCTAAGCATGGTGCTCATGCCTGTAATTCCAGCTTTTTGGAGGCTGAGGCAGGAGGATAGTGAGTCTGAGGCCAACCTGAACTATAGAAGGAGACCTTGCTTCAAAAAGGAGAAATGAACAAACAAAAACCAAGACAGCTAGGCAGCTCCTGGCTTTTGGCTTAGCAATCATGTCCTGTGTTTGCTTCAACTAGAATGCTTTGACCTTCTCTGGGCACTTCTGACCTAATCCCCAAGCCCTCCTCTGAGACTCACATTTACCTTGACCTCATGGATCGGTGGAGGCTCCCCTTCTGGTTTGAACATGGATGCCAACCTTGACTTGGGGCTATGATTTCCTATGTGACCATGCTACTATGCCTGACAAGACTATTTTGGTTTCTTCATAAGGCATTCATACTTCACCTGCTTCTTGCTCCTGCTCTCTCACATCAACCTCTCCCTAATTCTAAACAACACAGAAGGTGGTATTCTCTATCAATTCAATAGCCATGTTACTCTAAATCTTCAGCAATATACAAACGACTAATTCCTTGGCTTTCAGTCACTTATCCACAGAAGAGACCAAGTGAAATAAGCATTTCCTTCAATCTTCTGTCTTTGCCTTCCCCTTACTTCTCAAACCTCCAGAGTTCAGAGGAAGGGAGTGTCAGGGGAGGCAAAAACAGAAACATGCTAATTATACATCAAGGCAGTGAGGCCCTATTCCCTATTTTCACTGCTCTGGGTGGAAAGGCCAATGTGTAGAAGTGGGATTTTACAGAGGGGAACGGGGTGGCTTATGACTTATTTGTTACTGGGATGACAGCCAAGGGTCATAAAATTGTGCAAATCATCACTGGCTGACTCTGGTGACAGATGCCCAGGATTGGAGAGGAGACCAGTGTGGCTAGAACCTCCCTGCACTCTTTGCCATGGCCGCTGCCTCAGGGCCGCTGTGGTCACAGCTGAGGTCAACAGCCACCATGCTAAGAACTACACCTAATTCCCCAAACAACCTTTTGACCTTTGTTCTGTAGCAGAGGCCACTTGCTCTGGAAAGCAAAATGCTTAAACAAGACACAGCTAAAGAAAGTCTTTAATAATTTCTTACATCTCTAAAATACTTTTCTAAGGAATAAAACACCACTGGCGATTCTGTAGTTTAAATCTTAAAATAATCTTATAGCCCCAGTCAAACTTATTTCCAAACATTTCTCCTTGAGAGTATTTTTCTGGAACCATCCTTCCTGTGAGTCAAACCCACAACCTTTTGCCACTTTATTTATTCAGATCCCTAACTCAAGGGACAAGGAAGGGGTTGAGGGGAACCTTTATGCCTTCCACTCTAAAGGAAGAGCTAAATGTTTCCTCTCATGTCTTTGTGTGTTAACCCTTGTACTCTCCAAGGCCATTTACCTTCATAGTTGCCTTTTTTTTTTTTTCCAGAAATGGAAGGGGCTTAGTGGACATTTTCAGCATGGTCCTATTTTAATTGCTTTTAAAGTCATCTCTGCTTCCCCCATTCAAAAGGCCTCTCCTTGGTGGGAGACTATTGCAACACTGTAAAGACAGGTT